GCAGGCTCGTGTCCAGCTTTCCACACTGCGATGTGACAGACAGGAAGACAAGGCACACGGTCCCCAAATCTGGAGGGCGGTGGGACCACTGGGATGGCTCTTCTGACCCACCTTCCCCTGGGAAACGGGGGTTTCACGAGGGGCCCTCAGCAACACTGATGTGACAAACCACTGACTCAGCAGAGGGGGGTAGAAACTTCTTCCATGTCAAGACTCGAGTCTCAGCCTTAGAAATTAAAGAAATAATTTAAAAACAATTCAGATTTTGGGAAATTCTCTGGGAAATTTCTTACCTCTTCTACCACCCAAGCAATTCCACATCCTGCTCCACAAGCAACAACTCCACAGCAGGAGCTGTCCCACAGAGGAGCTCCTTGCTCCTCATTTCCTATTTCAATTGTTGCTAAAATACAGACGGTTGGCTTCAAAAGAGAACATGCACCGACGAGAGGAGCACGGGGACACAGCAGCAAGGACCACCTGCGGCACATCCAGACCCACTTCCACTTGCAACCAACCAGCAATGCATCTCCAGCGTCCTCGGTCAACCCCCTCCAGCCTCTGAGGCTCCTCCTTCCCAAATCAGGGGCAAACCCGGCCGCATCCGCAACCTCAGCGATCCGACTCCAGCTCACGAGACAGAGGAAATCCAGAGACAGCAGTCACGGCCACAGCACTGTACAGGCGCCACTTGCCCATCTCGCCCAGTTACCACCCCAACCCCGGAGCACCGCTGCTGTGACAGGGGTGGGCAGAGCAGGGCAGGATCACACCATCGGGAAACAGCGAAGCAGCAGCTACCCAGCCTCACTCAAACCCAGCTGTGCTTTCCGTTTAGCAGCAGTTCACCAAGTTGCCCCACGCACACCAGCCCACCTCCCCCCCACCTCCTAAAGCAGCAGCGTCGACCCAGTGTCGGCTCTGGAAGGCGACGTCTTCAGCCAAGGCCCCGCGAGCACCCACAGCCGCTGCTGATCGACAGCTTGCCCAAGCTCACCCTTTCCGTCTCTGCCCTCTGCTCCTGGCTGCTCTCATCCACCACAGCCACATGGCGACAGCCCTGGCGAGATGACTCCTCCTCCCAGCTCTGGATCAACTGGGTGCTTTGGGAAAACGCCATTACCAGCTTGTGATTTTGCTGAGAGGGTAACGCGATCAGCTGCATTTTTGAGAGGCCCAGTGCAGGGCTTGCTCCGCACTGTGCACAGCAGCGCGCGTTGCAGCTCACGAGGATGGAGCGCTGGAGCCACGGCCACACCAGCTGCACAGCGATATCCCGACCCCACAGATGGAGCACAGCTGCAAGGCAAGCGGCTCTGGCTGGAAAGGAGTTTCTGCTCTTACAGCGGGAGCACCACTTTCCAGCGCCACTTCTGGGCCCCAGGAGCACATCTCACCCCTTGACATGTGCCCTCTGCGAGGGAACGCAGCTCATGAACCTGGGGAGGATGTGCTGGCCAAAGCCCACCCGGCGCTGGGTGGAGGAACCAAGTGAATGCCACAGCAGCTCCGCAGCCATCCCCTCGCCTCAGCCAGGCAAGGGGCAGCACGGTGTTACCTCAGCCCTTGGAGACGCTGCCCTGAGTGGGGGACTCCATGCAGCTGCCCACCAAGCCACGACACACAACCAAACCCAGGCGAGAGCCCTCCTTCACTGGGCAGGTCTCCTGCTGCACCCAGCACAAATCCCACAGCTGCAGGAGATGGAGCTCCCCCCGGGCTGCATCGCTCCTTCGCCAAGCTGCAGCATTAAGTGGCACCAGGGACACGCCAGCCCCCTCGCTCACAGCAAGGACCAGTCCCTCTGGCTGCTGTGACTGTTCTCCCCACTCAGCCCCCGACCACGGTGGAGGCGCAGATCGACCGAT